GGACGCCCGCCAACTAGAGCGGCTACGCTCCGCCACGCCGCAGCGACAGCTCGTCTCGCCGCCGCCTGGCTTCGACTTCGCTACGCCACCAGCTACGCCACGCCGCCGTCCCGCGTCCGTCCGGCGTCGTCTGCTTGCGTACTGCTGCGGTGGTGCGTGCTGAGTTGCTCCTTGCTCCCACAGCGCCAAAGTGGCAAGGGAAGGCGGTGCGACGTCGCGCGAACGCGCTACCACTGCCACACCGCCCCCCAATAGTCAACCCATCCCGCCTGTCCCCTTTCCCCTCACCTCCGAGACGAGACCCCTCCCTACCCTGATACCGTTGGAGACTTTTGGATCTACTTAATCTCTGCCCTCGCCCTGTCATCGTCCAGTCCTCGCTCAGCCCTGCACTCTTAAAACCTTACGAAGTATTTTGAGCATACGTATAACAAACTAAAATACTTTGTTAATCGAAGAAATAGTTCGTAAATTACAAAGTATTTTCTTTGTAAGCTTACGCACGCTCAAAATACTTTGTTATACAAACTTCTTTTCTTTGTAAGGCCCAAAATAGTTTGTAAGGTTTTCTCAGTGTGTCAACGTTGAGTCGCGAGGCGAGATAGAGGCTATCTTTGACCTTTCCCTTCCCCACCCACCCACTCTGCACGCCCTACCCTCAATAAAGAAACAGTCACTCACAGTTTTTGACTAATATCATATTTTTTTTTTGCCAGCCACACAAAAAAGAGAACAAAATAATAAATACAAAAACATCTACAAACATAAACATTTATTATAATAAACAAACGGATTTTTCCTGAGGAGGCTCAGCAGCGCCTTTTTGGCGAAGACTGTCATTCACCATCAAGGTGTTGTTTACAGAGGAAGACAACATATTAGTAGCTTTCTGTGAGATAAGGGCCTTGGCGCTACTCCAGTTGCGTTCGCTTGCAGCGCTTGCTGCAGGAATGGCCAAAATTTTCAGAGCCAACTTAGCAAGGGTCGGGAAACGCACTGAACCCTGGAAACAACAACGCAAAAAAATATTAGAAAAACATTTCAAATTGCCATCTCTGTTCGACAGAGCGCACCGCACATTAAGGTAAAGTATACAGTTACCGTCAGTTTAAGAGCATCGCTTTCTTTTCGAGGGCCTCTAGGGTAGGTTATGACATTTGGACCCGCGCGACTTGTTCCAGACACCTCAGAAGGATCTTGGCAGCGAAGTGACTGACTAAGATTTCATGAAAAACTTTTTGTGTCGCTCTTATTTAACCTGAGAAAACGGTTACCAAAAACACAGTTATCGGCAGCCAAATTACAGTTATCTGCATCCTATATGACAGTTATCGGCACCCCTTGTTAAAAAGGCAAAACACGGAAACTTCTAACAGTCGTCACAGACACTCTACACCCAGGGAAATCTGTTCTAGAATTGAGACCAGCCCCGGACTTGATTGTTGTACTTGATTTCTGTTCTCAACGTAAGGCTCGATTGGTCTTGATTCTGTCGGCAAATCAAGACCATAATTTCAGTATCAGTACATTGTAGAAAGGTGTTGCGCAGCGTTCCGACATTTTAAAATGTTGAGCACCGCAGGGACATCCTGGTATTCGAACCGGTGCTTCGCGGCCACCGGTCGACTCCTTTAGCCTCTCGGCTACTGGTCATTCCGGACACAGCTGTGCGCGCCACGAGTACACCGTCCTCAAAACGTTTGGGCGCCACTGCCGATAACTGTATAGTTTACCCTAAGTCTCGCCAGGCACAATGACATGTGTGCTGCAGGGCAGAACATTGTATAACGCGCCTGCACTTTCCACCACGAGAGGAGGTTCACGCCGTCAGGTAGGGCTACCTCTGGCATCTTCAGATACTGCTCCACCTCGTCGGTTTCAACTTGTGTGTCTTGGACCATCAAGAAACCAAAAAGCTGTTCGTCAACACTTTGCTGAGGTTCTGCTGCTGCGGCATCTGTGGTGTGGTCAAGATCTGCATGAGGATTGTCGGCATTGGCCCTCCTTCTTGCTCCCGCTCCTTGATGACCCTCAGACGCTCCCTCACAGAACTGTGCACCTGCACACCATATCAGAGCTTAATCAGTCGTTCAC